AGCAGTAACAGAGATTATTCGGTGTTGTTCTATGTGATTTACGGCTGGGTAGGCAATAGTTCTTTCCAGTCGACACGATGTGCCGACGTTTGGTCGCTATTTGCTTCGGTGGCTCCGTCCTATCCTTGCTAGCGCCGATAACGGAATGGCTTTTTGTTCCAGGATGTATTATGTGTGAAGCTGATATGGAAAAATCCATTCAATTGCTCGCTATTTGCGATTTGGAAATTCCAGTTAGGAATTACTGAAATCATATAAACAGATGATTTTACTTCCCACGCCTACTGGCAAGGTAGTATTGAAATCGCGAAAGATTTCGAAAATGAGATACTATCTTTTTTGAACGTTGTATGACATGTATATCACGCAAAACCATATCGTTCATTTGCGTCGGTCTGTGCGCTAATCTTTGGGCCACCTATAACTTGGAAAGTACTAGGTATGTGGATTTGTATGAAATTTTAACACAAGGTTGCTACTATGCTTATAATGAAAGCTTTGTAGTTCTTGATAATCCGTTTATTGGACGCGAAGGTAGGGGAAAAAACACCAAAATAAAACAAAAATCGCTCATAATTCGTTTTTGCTCTTTATCATTTTAAGACATTTTTTTGTAATGATTGAAAATCGGGGATTGGGAGGTTGTAGGGGGCGGGGAAAGGTCACCCCGCCGCCACTAAACCGATTTTAAAAAAAGTAAATAGTTTTTTATCCCTTGGCATAGTAACTAGCTCGTATGAAAATTTCATCAAAATCCGACCGGTAGTTTCCAAGTTATAGATGGGCTGAGGGTTCACGGACAGACAGACTGACGGAAATGGGTGACGTAGTTTTTCGTAATATACATATCAAAGCATTTTGGAATTTTTTGGGATTACAACACTTCCTTCGCCAGTAGAAACGGCAAAAAAGTTTGGGCAACTTTCTCCGCCGCCACTTGGCTGATTTCAAAAACTACAGTTTTTTTGTTCGATAATAGTAGCGTTGTGTAAAAATTCCGTCAAAATACGAATGATACTCAAGTTATATACGGGACAACGATCAATCAGCACACAGACACACAGTCAGATCGATGGAAGTGAGTGAAATGGTTTTTCGTGATTTAATACTGCCTCGCTTCTGGTTTTTACTTCCTACTCCAGTAATTAAAAAGCAGGAGCAAAATATAACCACTTCTTCCAGCATACTGTGCTAGATTGGTAGCACGTTGGTGGTCTTTTATTATTCAAAAAACAAATTTGTCAAGGTCAGAGCCTCTTTTTTCTGCAGTCTCGAAGACATTCCAGTAAGCTGGTTTGGCGCGTGCTAAAACTCTGTTGCAGTGATATCTGACAGTATAGTAACGTAATGAAGGCAGAACCGCTTCATAATCTGATCCAGAATCTCATCTCGTGAATATATTACCCAACTAACAATTATCACTCCTATTAGAGTTGCAAGAATGATTATACAGTATTCCTTAAACAGCATTGTATACTGTAAGAACATTGGCAAAACCCTCTTAGAACAACTATACAAGCGGAATGGGCACACCTAATAGGACATTTCAGTCATTTAAGAGGTTGTATAAGGGTAACAGTTATAACAAAAGTGTAAGCCTCTTGCAGCCGCTACAGGACATTTGCGTCAGTGCAAGATTCAGTTTTTGTCAACTATACAACTATTATGTTACTTGATTCTACTTTATTGCAACCAAACTATATCTTATGTATTGTATAGACGAAGTGAAGAATATATAACTAACACATTACAGTCATCTTCCCAACTAAAAATTATCACTCCTATTAGAGTTGCAAGAATGATTATACAGTATTCCTTAAACATCATTGTACACTGTAAGAACATTAGCAAAACCCTCTTAGAACAGCTATACAAGCGGAATGGGCACACCTTAGGACACGTCAGTCATTTAAGAGGTTGTATAAGGGCTGCAGGTAACAGTTATAAAACAAAAGTGTAAGCCTGTTGCAGCCGCTATAGGACATTTGCGTCAGTGCAAGATTCAGTTTTTGTCAACTACGTAGTCATGCCATAAGTTCTGTCCCTCGTTTTCAAACAAGTGTAGACCTGTTAATACTTGTCCGATTGTTTACATTGTGGTGTCAGTTGATTAAGCGCTTTTCGGGTAATTACATATACCTCAGTTTGTATTGATCTCTCGAAGCATAACGATGAAGTGGGGCAAGGCAGAGAACCGTATTGCAGTGATAGCTTTACATAAGTGTAATCACAGTGCTAGTCAGATTTTTGAACTCTTACGCGGCCTTCAAATATCGCGTAAATTTGTGTCTAGGACCATTCAGCGGTACAATGAGACGTCCTCTGTTGATGACAGGCCAAGAAGCGGAAGACCTCGTCAAGTAAGGACTCCAGCAGCCATCAAAGCCGTAAAAGCCAGGATTCAAAGGAATCCACTCCGGAAGCAGAAGATCCTATCCAGGGAAATGAAGATTCCTGTCCGGACGATGTCGCGCATCATTAAACAAGACCTAGGGCTAGGGGCTTACCGGAGACGTACGGGCCAGCGACTTACGGCCACCTTGCGACACATCAGGGCGACAAGATCCAAGAAGCTCTTGGAGAGGTACGCAGCTGGGGGATTCCGAAAGATTTTGTTCACGGATGAGAAAATCTTCACCATAGAAGAAAAATTCAACCGACAAAATGACAAAGTGTATGCAAGGAGTTCACAGGAAGCTTCGGAGATCATTCCGAGAGTTGAGAGAGGCCACCACCCTGCGTCAGTCATGGTTTGGTGGGGGGTGTCCTACGAAGGGGTCACTCAGCTCCATTTCTGTAAACAGGGCGTGAAAACAAAAGCGGCAAACTATCAGAGCGACATACTGGATCCTATCGTCAAGCCTTTAAGTGGTACATTGTTTGCCAACCAACACTGGGTCTACCAGCAGGATTCCGCCCCCGCTCACAAGGCTAAGAGTACGCAGCGCTGGCTGGAAAGCAATGTGCCAGAGTTCATTGCTGCGGAAGATTGGCCCTCAGGGAGTCCGGACCTCAATCCTTTAGACTACAAGTTGTGGGACCTGCTAGAGCAGTTGGCCTGCTCCAAAGCCCACCGTAATATCGAGTCCCTGAAAGCGGATTTGATCCGATCAGCGGCAGCTATTCCTTTGGAAGCTGTGCGTGCAGTGATAGATGAGTCGCCCGCGAGATTGAAGCAGTGTGTGAAGGCCAAGGGGGGACATTTTGAATAAAACTGTTTGATTATGAATTCTAAAAATGTTGTCGAATAAATAATATCTTTCATATAAATATATCTTATCTTGTTTCATTTTTATCATGAGATTATCATGGGACAGAACTTATGGCACGACACGTATACAACTATTCTCTTACGTAATTCTACCTTATTGCAACCAAACTATTTCCTATGTATTGTATAGACGAAGTGAAAAATATATAAGTAACACATTACAGTACATCTTGTTTACTTATATATCGGCCATTGTGAATTTCATACACAGGTATATGATAAACTTCTACACTTTGATATAGGGCTATTGAATTACTTGCGCAGCAAATTCTATTGTGATTATCATGCAAATTAGTTACCCAATTTCTACGGGCTTCGTATTTGATTCATATTTTGACAATGATCAAAAGTATGTCTAGATTTTTAAGATGGAAGATTGAACTTATCTGCGTTAAATCTTCCACAAATCCTATATTTAGACACAATTACGAGTTGAATGATTTTACCCAGAATTTGTACTAGATCTATATCTTCTGTTTGAACAGTTGATGAAACCTCTTGAACCAATATGCATGCGGAAGTTTGTCTTAAAACATTGGTTATGGCATTTTAACAAAAATATGACTGCAGAAAGTTAGGTTATGGTGAAGTTGTATACGCACATAATTAGCATATTTTACGTAGAGCCTTTAACAGTTACTAAACAAAAGTTGTATAAGTGCTTCCGTTGGGAGCAATTTGTTGGCTAAAGTAGTAAATTGCACAGCAAAAGAACAAGGCTAGGGTTTGTTTTATAAACGTTACCATGGATGCCTAACACAACCATTTTGACTAATGTGCAAATATGCCGTATAAAATAGTTGTATAAGCGTTTATGCAACAGTTAAGAATTTGCCCTATAAGGCAGTGGCGGCTCGTGAGGTAGTGCCACGGTGCCATGGCACTACCTTGTCTTCTTCAAAAAGAATATTTTTTTCAATCTTCAATGTTTTACTTTATTTTTTGCTTTTTCATTTTTTTTTGGTATAAATTATATGAAGTGATAACACTGACAACGTGACAACACCGCAAGCACCCGAACCACGCGACGAGATATAAAGCATGCCTTGACCTTGACGTCATCAACTTGTGCCAATGTCGGGCCGGCCCAAATAAAAAGAGAGAAATTTTACCAGCATCGCATACGAGCGACAGAGATAACGCTACAATACACATTTTTATATGAGGTGAATAGCGAAAGACAAGTATAATTTGTGCCAGGCACATCATCAGTCGTAATTCGTTATCAAATGATATCGGCGGTGTTTTTGTTCGGTCGGTCGTTTCGTTATGATTACGTCTAGTGCTGATTTCGGTCTTTTTTTACCTGAAAAGTGAGAAATAACGTTTTTGTTTTAGTACGTCTAGTGTTAATGAACTGCTCTGTTTTGTGATCATATTTTTTACTGTTTTATTAAAACTAGTGAAAATGAATAAAATCGGGATATTAAAAAACTCATTTAGTGGTTTTTCGCTGGATCAAAAACTGCAAATTAAAGAATTAGGACGGCCAATACCCGATTTAAAAATTGAGAAACAAAGTGGTAGCGGACAAAAATCGCGCTGTCGCAAATTTAATAAAAATGTGTACGATAAAAACAGCTGGATATGTGGTTGTGAAGAAACGAATAAACTATTTTGTTTTGTATGTGTTCTATTTGGAGGTGACGAGACTTGGTCAAAAAAAGGTACAGATGATCTTATACATATATGGGATAAAATGAAGACCCACGAAAAATCTAAAGTCCATATGAATAATGTTTTTAGCTTTTCTATTCTTGGTAAATTAAATATAAGGACTCAACTCAATTCGGCTTATCGCAATGATCTAATTAAACATAATAATCAAGTGGATAAGAATCGATATGTATTGAATAAAATTATTAATTGTATAAGGTTTTGTGGAGCATTTGAGTTAGCCTTAAGGGGTCACGATGAAAAGGAAAATTCGGAAAACAGAGGCATATTTAAGGAGCTGGTGAATTTTAGCGCCGAATTAGACAACGAATTGAAAGTCCATATTCAAAGTGCCAAACTTTTCAAGGGTACCTCAAAAACAACTCAAAACGAGCTTCTTGAGTGCATGCTAGATGTTTATCATGAAGAAGTTAAGAAGGAGATTGCAAATTCTCCTTTTGTTGCAGTAATTGCCGATGAAACGACTGACGTAGCCTGTGAATTTCAGTTAGTTATTATTTTCAGATATTTGTGTAAAGGACAACCAGTTGAGAGATTTTGGAGTTTTTACGTCCCCGACGGACACGATGCCAAATCAATCGCTGCATGCGTTTTAAATGTTGTAAATCCATTAATAGATCAAAATCCAAACAAATTAATAGCTCAAAGCTATGATGGTGCGTCTGTTATGAGTGGTGAATTGAATGGCGTTCAAAAGATTATTAAGGAAACTTATCCACTTGCAAATTATGTTCATTGCTATGCACACCAGTTAAATCTAATTATGACAAGCGCATGCTCTGTCAATAAGCAGGCTAGAATATTTTTCCATAATTTATCTGGATTGTGCTCTTTTTTTTCGACGTCTCCTCAAAGAACAAAAATTTTGGATGAAATAGTTAATCGCAGATTGCCAAGATCTTCCCAAACACGTTGGAATTTTCAGTCACGAGGTGTTCATACAGTTTATGAAAATAGGAAAGACCTGATTGAAGTTATGGACAATATAGAAAGTACTTCACGCGATTCTTCGTCGATTAATCAAGCCAGTGGGTACAAATTAAAGCTGCAAGATACAAATTTTGTATTTTGGCTAAGTATATTCCATAAAATAATGCCACATGTTGAAATTGTCTTTAACCAATTACAAAAAGTATGCACCGATTCTGTTAAGGTCAAAAATGATTTAGAGAATTTTGAAGCAGCAATTCAAACTATACGAGAACAAATGGATAGCATTATTGACGAGATTGAACGAGTGCAGAGAGAAACTGATGAACCGGCAAGAAAAAAAAGGCAAGTTGAAGAAGGCAGCAAAAAACGGGAAGCGTTAGAAATATGCGATGCAATATTATCGCAAATAAGAACAAGATTTAACTTTTCTGGGCATTTAGTTGCTTCTAATTTATTTGTGTCTGAAAAGTTTTCTGTTTATAAACATCAGTTTCCTGAAGCACATTTAAATGACACATGCACACAATTTTCATTTTTAGACAAAAACAGGCTTAAAACTGAGTTACAAGTATTATATCAGAGAGAAGAATTGAGTACTACTTCTGGAGCTGTTCCACTATCCATTTTATTGAACGAGGAAGGATTAAATTGTACGTTTCAAGAAACTCTTAAGCTCTTAAGTATTTTAATCACTATACCGATGTCAACATCTGAAGCAGAACGCTCTTTTTCAATGCTGAAACGGATTAAAACTTTCCTCAGAAACACAATGAAGGAAGAAAGGCTTAGTGCTTTAGGAATGCTGTCTGCAGAAAAACATTTTGTTAGTGGCATTGAAATTTTAATAATAAGGTAATCGAAAACTTTGCTACCAAAAAAGAAAGAAGAATGGACTTCATGTATAGAAAACTTTGAAGTTATAGGTACTTCTCCACACTTGTTTTATAATTTGGTGCGCGTGTGTAAATAGTTTTATTTTTGATTTTTTTTTGGACATATAGATTTATTGAACCTCAAGAACTTTGACCACTAACTATCAGGGGTAAGTTATAAGTTATTCTTTACAATTTTGAATCGATTCAAAATTATGGCTTCCATTCTGGCACTACCTCACTGAATTGGCACGAGCCGCCACTGCTATAAGGTGTTGTATAACTATGCTTTAGAGCCGTTTTACACACAAGAGAATTACTCCGAAAATTATGGTCATAATTATGCCGAAAATTTGCATGGAAAAAATATGAAGATTTTCTCTACAACCTGTATGACAAAAACAAACAAAATTTCCGAGTAATTCATATGATACGCCTGCGCATTAGAGTAATATTTTCGAATGGACATAACCTTAACGGGTATGACGTCCAATATAATCGGAAAGACAACAGACGTCGTTAATTTAAATTTAATTGTGAAATCGAGATCTTGGTTAATATTATAAAACTTCTCAATGCTTGGACTATCGCATCCAGCGCCTGACGCCGCAAATTTCTGTTTTTGTAATTGGGTGACTTCACCTTGAACAGGTTTGCCCATTTTTGGTACTCCTACAACAACAGTGTAACTTCTTCCTGATTCCACGACATTATGAATAAGCAATAACAATAAACGCTTCTTCGTAGTACGACTCGAACAGGACCATACCCACTAATGTTAAGTGGGGTTATGTTGACGTTGACATTTGATAATGACATGCACGGAAATAATCCTCTGCGCCGATTCTCGCGCATATTCTATAGAACGGGTTTTATATTTTTACCATGAAAATTTTCACAAGAATTCTTTTAGGTGTAATACGACAGCAAAAATTTTCGGCATAATTATAACCATAATTTTCGGAGTAATTCTGTTGTGTGTAAAACGGCTCATAAGAATATTTTAAAAACCTCATTTTAGAGCAAATATGTCGCAGAAAGCAAATTTGCGTTCCACATAACATTAAGCCAGCATTTTGGTGTTCAGGCAACAACAACAGAGAGCTTTTATGGCTGAACGGTTCTTTTACCAAAAGCTTATACCACTACTTTGCTAGTTGGTTATCTACACGGTTGCTTTCCAGCTTCCAAGGAATAAGCAATTCGTCTGACTTTGAGGTTTGTTGGAACGGATTGACAAAGAATCACTAGTTTTTTATATTGATAATAACCAAAAACCTAAATGTGAATAGTGCAACAATAGGAAAACTAAATTGTACCCAGGAGTTCGCAGAATGTCGCCGAAAAACTTTATCTAAACCCCGCAAGAGAGGCGTGATGACCCCCGACCCCCGTTCTAGCAGCCAGCAGAATCTGGCTTTGTTTATACTGAAGATAGTGTCTCGCTTGGACCGTAACGTTGCCGAAAGGGGAAATCCTTTGGCTATTTATTTTAGTGATTAAGATTTAAAGTTCCCAGCACAAACAGTAACTAAGTGGTCAGACTCTAGCGGCAACTAAATGTATCTTCGCCAGCGGCGTATCACTGTTGTTAGTGTGAAAGGAATGGTAAACATTATCGATTGTGATGTGGCAGATATGTGAAATCACCCGGGACTCACATGTGTCATAATGCTATATTTAGTACAATTCCACAATGCATTTGTTTAAACTTTTTCATGTAAAAACGTTCAAATTCTCTCGAGTGGGTTGTAAACTATACCTAAAATCATTGTGAAAATAGCATGTGCTAACTTTATACGTTTCTTATAACAACATGAGGACTTGAGCAAAAAAAATAATAAACAGCTACTGGAAAGAGGTAAAGTAGGCAGCATGTTGATATTAGTCAATATATTTTATTTTCACAACTGCGTGTGAAAGCAATAACAAAATTAATATTATAATATTTCGCTGACGTGAATGTTTTGCAGATTTTTGTATCACACACGTTTGTTTGCCTTACGACCAGAGATGTTATTATGTAGCCTTGTTAGTTCATCCTAAGCTCTTTGATGCTTCCGTCATGCTGTGCTAAGACAAATTTCTTACCTTTTTGCATAGTTTTACGATTGGAAGTTGAAATCATGCTTTATGGATTCAAGGCCCATAAGAATCATCGCATTCATTTTTTGTACTAGGACGCAAATTACTTACTTTAGTATGCACCATATCCTGCCGTTTCATATAATGCAAGCCGAAAATTGTTATCAAAACATGTAGTTGTCAAGAGCTGACAGGTGCCGAGTCCGAAGAAGTATGGTAACGCACACAGTGAATACCCGGTCCACCACGCTTAAGGGATCCGTATTTCCATCATAACTCTTTTGTTTTTTAAAATATAAACAAGAAATTTGGATGTATGGGAGGACAGATACTAAGGATGGGCTTTGTATGTTTGTACTGACAAGCGGCTAAATGCCTCTATAAAAAGGTTAAGGGTCGATACTTAGGGCCATTTATACTGGCAGTGAAGTAAAATAAAAACGGAAGCCAAGCGAGTCCATCTGGAAGATCAAAGATACTGCGGCCTCATCAAACTTACTTTTTTGGTAGGGTCTAAAATTTGGAACATACATCATGTTGAATATTTTCAAAATGTGCTCTCAGATACTATATACACTAATTTCTAAATATATTTTCTCTGTTCATCTAAGAGTAATGCAGTGTTCACGCACTATTGGCCCACGCGGTGTGGTAACAGAATTATAAAAAATAATATTCCTTAGTGGCAGAAGTCACATGTGAAACTCCTTAATCAATACAAGTAGCTCCAAATGACCAATTACCATCAGCTACAAAAGCTCCAAAACTCTTCTCATAGACTCCCAAACCTTTTCAAACATACTTAGGTGGTGTTTAATGAACAACAACTTAAATTTCTTGGAACCGACTTAACCAGTTAGAATGCGGCATCAGCTGCCAACCAACTTTCAGGATCAGATGATAGAGGCAAATTCAATACTAACCATGCCACTATTCCCTTGATCTCTCTAGCTGCCTTAAGCTTTATCTTTCGGCGTTCATGCAAAGCAAATCAGATTGGTAAGGTATCTTCAATTGCTTCCTAGTTGCTCCATGCCATTTCGTGGACACTTACCACGGTACCACCGTGCGAGAACAGTAACCTGTATACGATTCTTCGGATGATGGAAGGAAGGATCCCGCCAGTGCCCATTTTTTCTATTGCTCAAGTTGTTTACTAAACATACTCGCTGTTGCGGATGCGCTCACCCCAAAAAATCGTATGCTAGTTACTGTTCTCGCGCGGTGCTACCGTGGTATGTGCCCACAAGATGGCATGGTGCAACTAAAGAGCGACTGGAGATATCTTACCCATCCGGTTTGTCTTCACTCGTACGCCGCCAGATGGGACATCAAGCAAGACTACGAAAAAAAGGTACTCAAGAAAATTTCAAAATTAACGCCATGACGTTCCAATGGCTCCGTCGGTGCCCCCGGGCTAAACATAAATGTTGACAGCTGTCGTTATTGCCAACTGGGCTGTGGTATTTTGCTACTTTTACATTTTGCTAAAATCTTATGAAAAATAGAAGCCTTAAATAAAATATTGACGAACATGAATGAATATACATAGAACTTGAATAATGCTTGCAAAGTATAAAAAAAAACGACTGGGGTGGTGGTGGCTTATTATTTTAAGCAAATTTGTATTTCAATAAATTGTTATCACTTTTTGTACCTCTTATATTCTACATAAACGCAAAACAAAATAAAAATTCGTCTTGCAAGCTTCAGATTTGCTCTGCATGTTAAAATTTGGACTTGAACAGGATTTTTCGGTATTTTTATCAAAATGAAAATATATA